TTATTTCTTTCTCAAGAACTGTTGCACTGATACCTTTAGGATTGCTTCTTTCCCTCAAAGTTAATTACACAATAGAAAACAAAATGATTTGTGATCCTCCGAGGACATGAATGTTTATTCATTTAGTTACAAATTGGGTTCATTAAAATAAAAAAAAGAAATTGGCCATAATGCATGACAAATCATATCGTGAAGTTCTCTACAGACCAGAAAGAGGTCCTACACAAAGAGAAGACAGAGAAGTATTGCTTTCATTTCATTTAGAATGAAATCTTGAGAAAATCTCTGAAATGCTTTTAGAAAACTCAGAGAAATCTCTGCCTGTGATTGAATGTGCTATTATAAAAATGAATGATTGGCAATGCATCTACCTATTTCAACTGACATATTTCTGGTAAAAATTTTCCACCCTGAGAAACTTTAGGGATAAATGACTACCTGAAGCCATGACTTCCAGAAGAGTAAGTATGTTAATCTATATCACTTATTCAAAACTTTTATAAAATTATAGTGACAGTTTCCTCTAAAAAATAAGTAGATTTTGATATTTTATGAAAAGATTGTTGAAGCACATATGGCAGTTAATTTTAATTAAGTAAATATATTGAAATCAACTGACAGGCTGCTTATGCGTTAGTAAAGCTCAATGTAGCGTGAATTCTGAACATATAGAAGCAAACTGTGTCAGAATTATATTAATACTTGAGAGTGGATAATATATGTGTTCAATACATAGAGAAAGAGACATTATATATGAGGGTATATGTTTTTGTGCATATGTGTGTCTATACACATACACTTATGCTTTCTACAATATAATGATGTATTTGCTATAATATTTCATACTGTTGTCACTTATAAATTTAACAGCAATAATCTCTGTAAGATAGAAATCTTGCCCTTACACTCAAAATGAGTTAGTTTGTCAAATTTTGCCTCTTGGTATCTATGCAAGATGATGCTTCGATTATATAGAATAAAATGACTGAGAGAAAAAATTGTCTGATAGCAAAGAATACTGTTCTGTTATCTTCCATAGAAAAAGAATAAGTGTGAATGGAGAAGAAATGAACTGAGAAAGGGTAACTAAACTACAGATACATTTCATTTCTCTATCTCAGGGTGATCTGTTATGGTTGGACATTTCATGGCCATTCTTTAATTTGTTTCTTTTGTTGTTTTGTGTTGTGTTGTTATTGTTCTTTTTATTGAAAAAGGGTATGTGCACTTCCCAGAGACAGAGAAAGAGCGAGAGAATGCACCCACCAATGGAATGTGGTCATGCCACAATACGTTTTCCTCCACTTCTCTCTTCCATTAGGATTTCAGTATGCATTCATGCACATGCCCACAGCAGAGTTTTCAAGCATCCAGAATGAAATTTGAGCTCCCATCACCCACATGGGATCCAGTTCCTTATGCACAGAATTTTAATGATTGCCTTCAGGCAACTTTTGTTTTATAAGTTTTAAGACCTTTTTTTCACTATGTCACAACCTTTCTATGTTAGTCTCCCAGCTACAACTGGCTCTTTTTAAGACAGTTTTAAAGGTTGCCCAGGACAACCTTGAGCTTGCAATCCTCCTGCCTCAGTTTCTCAAGTTATGACATTACAGATGCAAAACACCATATTTTCCCAGCATTTAGGCTGGACTAGGAATCCAACTTGGGTCCCTCACAAGGTTCCAGCATGCAGAGCACCAGTGGATGAGCAGCATGTGCCACCATGGGTGGGCCTCTTTGTGGTCTTTAAATAGCACTTCTCCAGGACTAAGTTAGTTCCCTTTCTTTAATATAGTGTTCAAACTTTAGGGACTAAACAGTAAAACCTAGGCACAGAGTAGAACTTTAGCTTCCCCTAACCTAAATAAGAAAAGTATAAAAGTAACCAAGTGAAGCTATGCATAAGCCTCCAAGGGGTATTTTTCAATTAAGAAATGTGAAGTAGTTAACAGCCCTTGAGAAACTGATTGCAGACAGAAAATATCTGAGTATCAGGTGATTAGTTATATTTTAGAACCCAAATAGGAAATAACTAGCAACCAAAGCATAAAATTACAAATACCTGATTTCTCGTTTTATTGTAGTATCTCAATGAGAGGAAAGTTGAAAAGGAATAAGTGACACCAAGAAAGAGAAAACTCTTAATAGAGTAACTGTTACCTTGGTCAGGAGTAAGAGCTTTAAGCATAAATAAATAATTGCATGGTGTAATTCCATGACTAGAAATAATCCTTTCACGAAAACAAAATTAAATACATCAAACCACATTGAGTCAAAGATATGGAAAACTATTTTTAGAGACATTACTCTAAAAGAGAGTGGCAATATTTTGAATGAGAAAGCTGAATGTGTGTTTGGAGTCAGTAGGTTAAGCATGGATTTACACATTAATGTAAAATTTTTTTGAGAGGTTTCTATCTCTCTGTCTCTCTCTCCCTGTCGGGAGAGCGCATGCACCCTATAGCAAAAACCTCTCCAAAAAGAAAAAGAAAACACATTAAAAAAAGAGATTAAAAACTGGTTGTGAAATCTTTGAACAGTTTGACTCCAAGGTCCCTGATAAATTGCATTTAGTTTAAAAGCTATTTCACATGATCTTTTAAAAATGGTTTCACTGTCAAGGGGACAACAGTTAGTGTAATGGCTATGTCACTGAGCTCCCAGGTAGTCGACCACGGTTTGAGTCCCGGACCCAGTGGTTTAAACTCACGCCAGGCGCGTGTGCATGCGTGCCCAAGATCTCGAGAGGAGAATGAAGGAGAAGGGATTGCGGTGTGGCCATCCCCCATGGGGGGTGATTTCTCGCTTTCTGTCTCTCTGTCTCTCTCTGTCTGTCTGGCGAGCGCACGTGCCCTATAGCAAAAACCTCTCAAAAAAAAAAAAAAAAACAGTTTCACTGTCAAGGTATTACAAAAGATTAGAATGAGTGAGGATTAAGAAATATTTACATTTTACAGAAAATCTTGGTAAATGAGAAGCAAAAGCAATGAGATAAAAGTGATAGAGTCTTTGAGATAGATTTGTAACTTTAATCTGATGTAAATTTTAGTAACCTTGATAGTATTAAAGAAAAAAATCATGTATGACACTTACTGAAGACAGTAAGGGTGAGTTTATTCAAGGTAGGACTAGTCAACAGGTATAGGAACTACTGCTATGGGGTTTTGCAGAGGGGAAGAAATATAGGCTTAATTTCAAGTACAACACTAAAAAGTGAGTATTTACAATATAACCAAGAAGCAGGGTGGGAGTCAGTGCAGGTAAAATTCTTGGGACAAGTAAAGGTGGTAAGGTAAATTCTTTTTTTATTTTATTTTATTTTTTTTTTGGAGAGGTTTTTTGTTATAGGGCACGTGCACTCGCCAGACAGACAGGTGGAGACAGAGAGACAGAAAGAGAGAAATCACCCCCCAGGGAGGATGGCCACGCCGCAATCCCTTCTCCTCCATTCTCCTCTCCGGATCTTGGGCACGCATGCACATGCACCTGGCGTGAGTTTAAGCCACCAGGTCCAAGACTCTAACTGCAGTCGAATACATGGGAGTCCAGCGACATAGCCATTATGCTTACTGCTGTTCCCAAGGTGGTTAGGTAAATTCTGACTAATCTGTAAATACTGGACAAAGTCAGGCCAAGGTAATTAGACATCCCCTGGGTAATTAGACGCCCCTGGGGCGAAAGATGAGAATCCTGAATAGACATAAAGAGTGATCAGATATTGAGAAGAGGGGGACTCCAACTAAACTGACTTAGCAGGATTCTTGCTTAGATTGGTCAATGCAAACATAAACATAGAAGTCCAAAAGTTGAGTCTTAATTGAAAAAGAAAAGCTTGAATAGAGTTTCATCAAGGGTAGAATTTTGTCAATAGGAGTCAACAACTGAATTTCAGCTTTAATCACCATGTAATCATTTTCATTAGCAGTTATATTATTTTGGTATTTAGAACTTAATCATTGTAATTGAGTGGTTCTCAAACTTTGGTGTGGTTCATCAATGACGTAGAGATATAAAAGTCTCAAAGGCTAAGGATCTTAGAAATATATAAACTGTGGGCCTTTGAATTTTCACTACCTTCCTAGATAATATGTTAGTTATATTAGTATATCAAAATATTATGCTCTATTTCAGAATTGTCAACAGTCAAAATCAGGCTTGTTGGACAGACTTAGAGAATGTCAGTAGGTAGGAAGACGACTTGGATTATTGTGAGAATCTCTTTTTTCTTCTATTAAAATCACTTCAGAAATGACAATGTCATATTTTATAAAGCTATATTACAAGGGGCCAGTTGATAACGTGGTGTTTAAAGCACTGGACATTCCCACATGGTCGACCACGGTTCAAGTACCAGATCTGGTGGCTTACTTTCTCACTTTCCCCCTCTCTCTCTGTATCTTTCTCTGGTTAAATTAAAATAAATGAATGAATAAATCAAATTAAATAATTATTTTTTAAAAATGTTCTGCGACAAAATCACACATAGTATCTATGCAGTTCACAAAAGTTTTCTGCTTTTATTTAATAGTTTTATTTACTGAAGACCTAACACTACAAGCAAAAACTTAAAACTGTGGTGATGTTATTTATAATTGACTTGTGAGTATTAAAGAACTATACAAAGCATAAGGATATCAGACTATATATACAATAACTATCTCTTTTATTGCTAAGGTTAAAACTGAATTGAACAAGTATATTCAATTGGAAAAGAAATTTTACAAAACAAAAGAGCTATAAAAGTAAGGACTGTAGTACAGTAAAAATAATTTCAAGAAAACTTTCCCTAAATCAACCATGGAATATATATCAATCAGATAAAGCTAGATAGTCAATGTACTCACATGGTTAATTGTTCATGTCAAGAAGAAAATTTGTGTGAATTGGATTAATTGAATTTTCTTAATAGTGTCTATTATTAACATAATTTTAATATCCATTTTAAAATTTTCAGTCTCAGTCTTATAAACTGATTGGGCTGACAACAGGAGTCCAGGATGAGAAACCACACAAGATTAACAACCTTCATCCTACTGGGATTGACCGATGACCCACAACTTCAAGTCTTGGTATTCATCTTTCTACTTGCCACGTACATACTTAGTATAACTGGAAATTTGACAATCATATCTCTCACTTTAGTGAGTTCTCAGCTTAAATCTGCCATGTATTTTTTTCTCCAAAATTTCTCCCTCTTAGAGATCTCATTCACTACAGTCTGTATCCCCAGATTCCTTTATAGCATGTCTACTGGAGACAAGACCATTACTTATAATGGTTGTGCTAGTCAATTATTTTTCATCATCCTTTTTGGAGCAACAGAATTTTTTCTCCTGGCCATCATGTCCTATGACCGCTATGTGGCCATCTGCAAACCTCTCTTCATTATGACCCTTCTGTGTGTGGTTCTATCCTACATATATATCATCAAGACAATCCTAAAATTTCCCTCTGCCCAACAAAGGAAAAAGGCTTTTTCCACATGTTCTTCTCACATGATTGTTGTATCCATCACCTATGGAAGCTGCATGTTTATTTACATTAAGCCCTCAGCAAAAGATGAAGTGGACATTAATAAGGGTGTGTCAGTGCTCACCACTTCCATTGCCCCAATGTTAAACCCATTTATTTACACCTTAAGGAACAAGCAAGTGAAACAGGCACTCAATGACTCAATCAAAAGAATTGCACTTCTCCCAAAGAAATAGAAGATGTATAAAACTGTGGATCAAGTTGGTTTTAGTTTGATGTAATGGTTAGTACAGGACCAGAGCATATCAGCAAACTATTTTTGATGCTTGATAAGTACACAAGATGAAAGCAAACTTTTATATATCATAAGAGGTATTTAACGGTTAATGTTTGTTAAATCTAATAAAAAATTTTCAGTTTGTATTTTTTGCCTTTTAATTTCCTTTATAACCCACCTTTAGAATGATCTAACTTAATTTTGATTTATGAAAGTATGAATATCCAATAAATGTTGGGAGGAGGAGTTGGGTCTTCATCATAGATTATTTGAGAAACTGGGTTAACGGTCTGTAAGTTTCTAAACTACTTGATATCTCTGTAATCAACATTATATTCATATTAACTATCTTAAAAGTTTTGGTCTTGAAGATTAAACAGACTCTAGTCATTTCATTTTTTCCTTTTCTTTGAAAAAAATTGTGTTGAGGCCAGAATTTGCCATGGTGGTTAAGGCGCTGGACTCCCACATAGTTTACCATAGTTCAAGTTCTGAACCTGGAGGATATTTTTCTCCCTTTCCCTCCCCCTCTCTCACTCTCTCTGTCTCTTGCTGATGAGCTCATATGCCCTGTGCCAAAGTTGATAAATAATAATAATAGTAATAAATAAAATTAAATTAATAATTCTTCTTTTTTTATATATGCTGTAGAACTATTTTTTGTTAAAAGATTGTTCAGAATAGTCAGGTCACACCTCCAAACCATTGTTACTGACTAAGCCAGTAAGTTGGCTGCATATGTATATGATATAGATAGATAGAAAATTAAATAAATAGGTAGATATTGAAATAGATGACAAGATTGATAAAAGATGGCTTCCAATCATATTATACCACTAGGACCATTTTAAAGAAGTAATAATATCAATCTCAAAAATATTTTTAAAATATGTAAAATGTAGCTCATACAAGAATAAATATACTTTTTCATTAAATAAGAAGACTAATACGTTAGCTTGGGAATAAAATCTTAAGTAGGAAATTATGGTAAAGTTAAGTTAAAATATCTTTTTTTAGAAAAGCAGAGCAAGCACTGAAACAATATTTTAACACCAATAATAAAAGTAGCTATAGTGCAAGCAGTGAAGGTACTTAATGAGAATAGGACAGTGTGGAATGGGGTAAGTGAAGAGAAGAGGATAGAGAAAGATAGCAGTGAACAATAGAGAGGCAGGACGTTAGTGAGAAACAGATAGGGCTTATTAACTGTTGATGATGACATGTATAGTATTCTCAACTGGATTGGTCTGAGAAGTATTTCATGATGGGCAAAGTATTTTTACAAGCAAAATGAGAAATAGCAATTGACTGTTTTAAAAAATAATTAGAATAATAAAAATAATGATTGGGGAAAACATAGAAAAGATATTGAATGTTGAAGGGGGGAGATTAATGTCTCTGTACTGACGGACATGCATGGCATTCCCTTTTGAAAAAACAATGTAATACACTGTAAAGTTATATGTAATTCAATGTAATATAAAGAAGATTATGATGATGATAATAAAAAAAGTAGCTATAGTGCACACATAGGTAAAAACAAATTCCAAAAAATTCAACTGATATGATGTATAAAATTTTTGGATTATATAATGACTTAGAAATAACAGCTCAGGGACCAGCAGTTGGCATATGGCTATGTCTCTGGACTCCCATGTAGTCGATCACGATTCAAGTCCCAGACCCGGTGGCTTAAACTCACACCAGGCTTGTGTGTGTGCATGCCCAGTGTCCTGAAAGGAAAATAGAGGAGAGGAGATTGTGACCTGGCCTTCCCCCTGGGGACTGACTTCTCGCTTTCTGTGCCTGGCCTTCCCCCTGGGGGTTGACTTCTTGCTTTCTGTCTCTCTATAGCAAAAATCCTCTCAAAGAAAAAAAAAAAAAGCAACAGTACAAATTTTGAAAGAAAGAAAACATATGAACATCAGTATTAGTTCACAAGAAAAAAATCTTCATACACCTGGGTATTACATTTTTCCCAAATTTTTGTTATTTCTTTCCCTGGTCCTCTATATTTAAGCATAAGAAGTGCTTACCTCTCTCTAATATTTTATTTCTAAATCTTTCTTTATTCTAGAGATATTTTTCCTTTTTTTAAGTTTATTAATTTTTTTCTTCTGAAAAAGAGAGAGAATGCTCCCAACAAGGTCAGCCAATTCTGGATCATGGGCAAACATGTGGCCATTGTACTCAGGGAGGTCTCTATACTTGAACCAAGAATATTCCCGTGTGGAATTGCCTCAGAGAGCACCACATTCTGCCACTGCATTACTATCTGGTCCAATTCCTCACATTCTGATCTTGTCTTTTAGATAGATCTTGTTTAGCATTTAGACCACACCAAATGTCACCGCCATAGAAAATATTTTCCTGGCTTCTCCACGAGGCCATTTCCCATTGTCTGATTGTGTGGGTGTGTGCACATGGAGGTTTTTAAAAGTCCACAGAAAATGCATATTATTAGAAAACTACAGATTTTTTTCATTGTACCAAAATAAACACATACTTCAATTCCATTTTGAGATATTTTTCCTTTTTTTAAGTTTATTAATTTTTTTCTTCTGAAAAAGAGAGAGAATGCTCCCAACAAGGTCAGCCAATTCTGGATCATGGGCAAACATGTGGCCATTGTACTCAGGGAGGTCTCTATACTTGAACCAAGAATATTCCCGTGTGGAATTGCCTCAGAGAGCACCACATTCTGCCACTGCATTACTATCTGGTCCAATTCCTCACATTCTGATCTTGTCTTTTAGATAGATCTTGTTTAGCATTTAGACCACACCAAATGTCACCGCCATAGAAAATATTTTCCTGGCTTCTCCACGAGTCCATTTCCCATTGTCTGATTGTGTGGGTGTGGACACAGAGGTTTTTAAAAGTCCACAGAAAATGCGTATTATTAAAAAACTACAGATTTTTTTAATTGTAACAAAATAAACACATACTTCAATTCCATTTTCCATGAATTTTCTGAAGTCCCATGTATATCTGATAGCCTGTTTCGTGCTGTCAGACCTGAATACCTCAGACTAGGTAATTTATAAAGAACATATATTTATTGGCTCACAATTCTAGAGGCTGAGAGTCCAATACCAAGGTGCCAGCCTCTGGTGAGGACCTTCTTGATGCATCATAACATGGTAGAAGTCATCATATACTAGAAGGACAAAGGCACAGCAAGAGAGAGAGAAAAAGGCATTTCCACAATAACAATCTTATTTTCTACAATAGCATTAGTCTATTTATGATGGTCAAGCCTTCATGGCCTTCTACCCAGTTTGAATCCCAGACCACCAGTGGCTTTTAAATCACATCAAGTGTATGTGCATGTGTGTATATATGCTTGCCCCAAATTCCAAGAGGAGACTAAAGGAGAAAGTATTGAGTGTGGCCATCTCCTCCAGAGGATGATTTCTCTCTTTCTCTTTCTCGCTCTCTCTGTCTCTCTTGGGTGAGCTCACACTTCTTGTAGCAATTTTTTTTTTTAATGGAGCCAGCAGGTGGTGTAGTGGTTACATCGTTGCACTCCCACATGGTCAACTTTAGCTGAAGTCACAAGGGACTGAAACTCATGCCAGGCATGTGCACATGCATGCTCAAAATCTTTAGAGGAGAATGGAGGAGATGAGACTGCAGTGTGGGCATTCCCCGGGGGATTGATTTCTCGCTTTCTGTCTCACTGTCTCTCTCTGTCTCTGGTGAGCACACACACCCTTTAGCAAAAAAAAAATCTCTTTTTTTCAGTGTTTGGTTTTTTTTAATTTTTTTAATTTCATTTTCTTTTATACATTCAATCATGTTAAAAAAATTCATGCTTAATGAAAGATGTCAGACCAAAAAATAAAATATTCTGCTACAGTATTTACTTAACATTCTTAAAAAAAAAAAAAAGAAAGAAAAACACTAACCTACTATGGCAACTAATCAGTGGTTGCCAAGGGAATAAGAGTGCAGAAAAAAGAAAGTCACAGAAATTAGAAAAGTACTCAAGGACACTTTCAGAGTGATAAACATATTCACTCTTTTGACTGTGTTAATGTTTTGTCTTAAGTCCTAATCTATAAAGTTACACACTTTAATTATGTTGTGTTTATTTGCAAATTTTTCTTTAATAAAGCTGCTAAGAAAATGAGCTAAATAAACTGATATTTCTTGTTGTCCTTGTAACTCCAAGGGCACTGGAGCCCAAGCACCATTGTTAGTTGTTTTGCTTGTGCCAAATAAAATTACTCCAAAGATTCATTAGTGACTTTTGAGTTTAAATCACTAAGGACCTCTGCTCATTTATTTGCAGGTAGAGCAAAAATAAAACAATTTAAGGTTGCTATTATTCAAGCTTGTGTCCTGTCCTACAATACTGAAACACCAACTCTTTCAAAAGAAAATATAATTTCTACCATCCCACTGCTATCAGAACTTTTTTTCTCCTTTGACTTTTTAAGAGTTAAAATATAGAAGAAAATGTTCTTTTAGACCTATTATGGTAAAATGTACATTAAGATAAAGTTAGTTCAATCTATTGGACCTGTCAACCTCAGAAAACTTTCTACATGTCTAGAGAAACCATGAGTATGAACAAGGATGAATGAGAAAAAGCCAAGAGAAATTCACATGATAATTTTCATCACACCTGCCATCTTTAACTAATGGCTTTAAGAACCACAAATTTTAAACTACTAAGGAAGTTATAACTGAGGAAAAGTAAGTATAATAAGCTTTGTAATACTGGTCATATTTCTCTTTGTGAGACTCTATATATTTTTCTTGGAGAAAGAAAAGATTTCATTTTCCTGTATTAAAATCAGCTGAGTTATATAGATTGTGTAAAGCTTTCAAAATATATCTGAGATATTATAACAGTAAATATGTGGCTATAAAGAAATCCTAAGACACTATATATCCAGAGGTGGCATCAGCTGTACTACTGACCTCAATTTGGAAAATAAAAACATCCACTCTATGTATGTGTGTGTGTGTGTGTGTGTGTGTGTGTGTGCACCTTCACTGCTCATTACAGATGCCTGCCTCCTTTCAAACATTTCTCAATGATAAGACTAAATAAGAAAGCAGTTAGTTAAATATCACTGTCAATAATTTATTGCATTCTATGTTATACTCCTGCGTCATATCTTGTAACCAGAAACACATTTTTTGAGACTTTAATAATGTCTATAGCATATAGAACTGGGTGAGGTTACATTCTGATGCACAGGCAAACTCAGGAAAGGAGAAAGGATGGCAGAAAAGTGAGTAGACTGCAGCAACCACTCTGCCCCACTTCTCAGCTTAGTCTAAGATACAGGTAGCACATTTCCCTAAATTTCCTAGGGAGGTTTCTAGTTTGCAAGCAAACATGAACCTAGGTCGGCACTGCTCTGTGTAGGTGACTGCCACTCTGTAGGTTCAAAAGTATGAAGTGGGCAAATGATTAAATGAGGTCTTGTCCCTCAGTGTGGAGGAAGTGCAATAAATGGTGAACAGAAATTGTTCATAAATGAATACATCATAGTGTCAAAGGGAATGTGTTTTACAAGCATCAAAACACTGTCTGAAAATAAGAAACAGTCAAGTTCTCTACTATAGTAATTACTTCTTTTGAAAAAAAAAAAGTAATGAGAAAGAGGAGATACAGAAATTGAAGGAGGTATTTTTTTGACAGAATCTGTCCTGTCCCTCATTCCAGTCTCCCAGGTGACTAGGTTTTCAGGCACATGCCTGGGTTATTCAGGCTGATCTGGAATCCACCCAGACCTCTGGTGAGGCTCCAGCATCCTGCAGCAGCTCCCTCACACTTAACACCAGTAATTCATTTTTAATGCCTGAGAAATTACTGGGGAGCGGTTTTTTACTTAATTCAGAAAAAAAAAAAACTCTGGATTTAATACTCCACTAATAGATATGGGAAGGATGGAGACAAGGTGTCAATAGAAGTACAATTACTTATTTAAAAGTAGGAAGAGAAAAGAAGGGAAAGTTTAGAAGAGAGTTATAACTTTTGTTGGAATTGTAAAGATAACTTCACAATGTGACTTGATTAATAGACAAAATTTAAAAAAAAACACAAGAATTTCTAGTAATAGATATAGAAAATTTAATATACAAATTTAATATCAGAGCAGTATGACTTTAAGTCCAAAAATGAAGAGAGAGCTTTGAGTCTGTGTGCTTGTCAAACATGAAATATATAAATTTATTAAGAAAATTATTTTTAGACTTTGATAATATATCAGGAACTGTATTAACTGTAATGGTTATCATGGTGCGAAAGACATGATGTCAACAAATACAGGAAAGTTTTTACCTAGATGAAGTTGGGTAAAGGAGACTAATGTATATGAGGGAAGTGCTTGCTACAATATCTGCACAACAAATACTATTTGTTGATCATTGATCTAGAACACACAACCAACAAATAGAACCTGTTAGCACACAGAAAAAGAGTGGGGGCTAGGATCTGTAGAAGACGATGACTTCTGTTCAGTTAAACTGAAAGAGACACACACATGGATAAATACATTTGGTTGTAGTGTCAATTTGTAAATAGGTTTGATAGCCAACTCAAAATGCAAGTTGGGAAAAATCCATTATTAGAAACAGACACTTTGTAATCATTGCATATAAAATTGTAGAGAAAACAAAAGGATAGTCAGAATTGAACAGAAACTAATAGGTCCAAGTAATTAATCAAAAAAGAGAGACAAGGTAAAAAAATCATGTGCATAATTTTTAAATTACAGGATCAAAACATTTAATAAATATTATAAATACAAATAAACTGTCTTTAAAACAATGTATTTGCACACAATTAGTAGCCTACACATTGACAGAGTAATATAGAAGGAAGACAGAGAGGCTTGCCTGTGTTATTGTGTGTAAGATTCATTATTCATTGGAAAAAATATACTTCCCAGCCATACACACACACACACACAAAAGAAAGAAAAAATTTCTAAAACTAGAGTAGAGACTCCAGGTATATTGAGATTTTAGGATGAGTCCAAATTGCATATTACGTATTAGCATTTTACAAAAATAAGATTGCTAACCAAAAGCATGGCTTTACTGGTGTGCTTTTTTTAAAAATTTACCTATAAGTAGGGAAGAATTTCAAAAAGTCAATTAACATTTTTGCTATCCATAAAACCACACCAAATTACCAGCTATCTAATCATATTCACACTATGATTTTAAATAGAGTGCAAAAATATAGTAAAGATAGAGCTTACTAAATTAGATTTTATACAGATTAAAATAGTCTGTATGATAATCTCTTTGAATTATTGAACATGCAGATTTGATCAAAGTAATCAGTGATGAAAAACTGCACGATAACAACATTCATACTTCTGGGACTGACTGATGATGTGGAACTGCAAGCTTTGATTTTTATCTTTCTGTTTCTCACCTATATGCTGAGTATAACTGGAAATCTCATCATCATCATACTCACCGTCGTGGATTCACACCTTAAAACACCCATGTATTTTTTCTTAAAAAATTTCTCTGTCTTAGAAATTTCATTCACTACTGCTTGTATTCCCAGATATTTGTATAATATAGCAACAGGCGATAAGATAATTACATATAATGCTTGTATCATCCAAGTATTTTTTACTGACCTCTTTGCAATAACAGAGTTCTTTCTCCTGGCTGCCATGTCTTATGACCGCTATGTGGCCATCTGCAAACCCCTGCATTATGTGGCCATCATGAGCAGCAGAGTCTGCAGAAGGCTTGTTTTTTGCTGTTGGTTGTCAGGGCTTTTGCTCATAACCCCCCCACTTAGTCTGGGATTAAAACTGGAATTTTGTGACTCAAACATTATCGATCATTTTCTTTGTGATGCTTATCCCCTTCTGAAGATATCATGCTCAGACACGTGGTTTGTGGAGCAAACTGTTTTAATCTGTGCAGTGGTGACCCTCATCTTGACCCTTATTTGTGTCATTCTATCTTATACTTATATTATCAACACAGTTTTAGGATTTCCATCTTCCCAGCAAAGGAAAAAGGCCTTTTCCACCTGCTCTTCTCACATGATTGTGGTTTCCATCACATATGGCACATGCATGTTTATCTATATGAATCCAACAGCAAAGGAAGAAGTGACTATTAATAAAGTAGTTTCACTACTCATTTCTTCTATTTCACCTGTGTTAAATCCATTTATTTATACCCTGAGAAATAAGCAGGTGAAGAAAGCTTTCAACAACTCAATCAAAAGAATTGCATTATTCCTAAATAAATAAGATAGCAATCAAAAAATGAAGTTAAAATGAAAGATGAGTAGCTGCTAAAACTTTCGGTTAAAGCTTATAATCTATCTTTTAATAATCCATACTTGAGCTTGATATCTGTTTTTGACTCCTCTTTAGATTTGTTATACCCCAATCAATTTATTTCTTCCCTTTGTTCTTGACTTAACTTCTCGAAAGTGATTGTCTTAGTAAAGAACATAAAAGTGGGCCAGCAGGTGTTGTGGTGGTTAAGGGCGCTGGACTCCCACATGGCCAACCATGGTTCGAGTCCTGGACCTGATGGCTTGCTTTCTCACTTTCCCTCTCTCTCTCTCTCTCTGTCTCAATCTGGTCAAATTTAAAAATAAATAAGTAAAATAAAACAATTCTTTTTTTTAAAAAAAAGAACATAAAAGTATATTTTTCATTTATTTATTTGTTGATAAATATAACCCCTTATAATTACATTATATAGTATAATAAAAATAATTCTTTAGTCATTTATAAAACAAATAGTATAACCATGCCTGCTTGCTACTATATCTGAATGTATACAAAACAATATAAAAAATTTAAGAATTAGAATTTTATATTTAGCGCCAAATAGGATAGATAAAGATATGATTAAATAATTCAAAGAACAACTGAAAAAGAAAATAATATCATTTCTAATGCTCAAAGAAAACACATTAAAATTCAAAGAAAGTCTTAGATATAATTTCACAAATCTTCTGAATATGCAGCTGAAAATAAAGATTAAAATGTGGACAATTACAAAGTGTTAGAGATACAGGATATATAGAAATGTATGTAAGTGATATTATCTATGACCTGTGGATCCCAGGAGGTCAAATGGAGGATGGTAGGTTGTTTTACTATGGATTACAGTAGGTAGGATTTTAATAATCCTTTAGGCCCTGCCACTATGGTGCATACCTCCTAGGAAGCTGGAAGCAGCATGGGAGGCCTAGGAACCAAACCCACTGACACATGTCGGTACGGTTGCCTCTAGCTATTGTCCTGGATGATAGGAAGCCTGGGCCAAGAAGATGAGCTACATGAGACTCTGTCAGAGATGCCTAGTTCTCTCTGTCCCTCTCTCTGCTCTGTCTCTCACACATACGCACTCACAAAGAAAAGAGAGGGTAAGTGTGCAAATGAACATGGGGGGTGAAATTTCAGGATCCAAGTAGAGAAAGTACTTGAAATTCATAGAATACCATACGGTCAAAACTTTAAAATAAAGGGACCAGCAGTTAGCGTAATGGCTATGTCTCTGGACTCCCATGTAGTCGACCACAGTTTGCATCCTGGACCCAGTGGCTTAAAACTCATGCCGGGCACGTGTGCGTGCATGCCCAAGATCCTGAGAGGAGAATGGAGAAGGGATTGCAGCATGGCCATCCCCCCTAGGGGGTGATTTCTCGCTTTCTATCTCTCTGTCTCTCTCTGTTTTTCTGGCGAACGCACACGCCCTATAGCAAAAAACCTCTCCAAAAAAAAAAAAAAACTTTAAAATAAATACAGCTAATAATGAAAAATAAAGCAAAGTAAAAATATGTATTTTTTTATTAATTAAGAGTTGTTTAAATGTGTAAAGGCACAAACAGCCCCAAGGCGTAGTGGTTAAAGGAGCTGGATCCCACATGGCTACCTGTAGTTTGTATCCCAGCCCAGCAGCTTGGGAAACACACCAGGAATATGTGTGTCTGCATGTTACAAATCCCAACAGGATGGAAAAATGGAGGAGAAGGGGCTGTGGTGTAATCACACACCACTATGCGGGTGAGTTTTACCTCTTCCTCTCTGTCTGTCTCTCCATCTCTCTCTAGCAACTGAACATAACCTGGCAATTGAAAGTGTATGTATATAAAAACACATGCTTTTATACTGGTAAATTAAGTAACATAAAATCTTCCATTTCAACTATTACCATTAAAGATATTCAAATTGTCATGGAACCATAAAGCATTTATTTTTCATCCAATTATAAGATACAGTTGAAAAGTTTTATGTAATTGTAAATAATATGTATAACATAGTTGGTAAATCTGCAGAAAAATCATCTAAGAAGAAAAAGTCTGTTAATGTAAGCAGTACCCCAAAGTAACTGTATACATTTTTCCTTTTGTTTATCTTATTAAAATTATTCAATGATGGGACCAGCAGATGGCATAATGGTTGCATCATTGGACTTCCACGAAGACGACTACAGTTCAAGTCCTAGACCTGGTGATTGAAAACTCATTTTGGGCACGTGTGCATGTGTACCCGGTATCCTGAGAGGAGAATGGAGGAGAAGGGATTGTGGTGTGGTCAATCCCCTGGGGTTGATTTCTCACTTTCTGTCTCCCTGTCTCTCTCTGTCTCTCCAGTGAGGGCACATGCCCTAGCACAAAAATTTCTCTTAAAAAAATTAAATGGTAATATAATATAAATAATTTATATGATATTATAACACATTCTGCTCATATAATAAATCATTCAAATCATCCAGATGCTTTGGTAGTTGGGAGAGTTTCTGAAAATGAGCCACATAATTTAAATAATATAGTTGTCCTCCTGATCTGTGTCAAAAACTACTGTAATGTTCTCCTGTCTCTAAGGATATGATCCCATTGAAGACTGTATTGCTTGTTTTGGGTTTTTTGCCAAAGTTCATTACTCAGAAAATTAATTAATGGCTCTTGAATGAAGGCCAGAAAGGAACACTTTTTTTTTCCTACTTAGTGGCATTTTTGGCATATTGAAAAGAAAAGTCACATTTGATATTTTAAGAGGACTTTTCTTTATCCTGATGATTAAAAAGATCATTTCTACCAATAGTCAATAGGGTTCCTAACTTTCCTCAGCCCGTACAGCAGGTTACTTTCTTTTTAATGATAGAGATAGCAAGAAAATATTTGGAGGAGGTCCATCATGAGGAGGTCTGTCCACTTTCTTAGGGATGCAAACTACAATCCACTCCATACATTCCCGGACATGACAGTGAATATGAAAACATAAATGTATTTATAACATGATTATGTTTAACATTTGCAATCTTAATGTTGCTATGTTTGAACAATCAACAGAAACTCTGGTTTACAGAAAAGTGAATATGATAGTTTGTCCCTTTGTAGGATCTAGATTATATTTTCGTCTGGAGAAAAATATGTTCCAGTGATAATTTATTTGTTTTGAAATGTATTCCTGACATCTTTTTATGATGTTGCTTTTTAGAGTAAGTTCCTCTTGTGTAGATAAATGTGATTTCCGGGAGACTAGTGTATCTTTGTAGGAGCATAAAAACATGCTTTTCATCTCTCCACCAAAAGATAATATGTTGACTGATGTGACTTTTCATGACAGATCTTTGTGTTTATTCTAAAAACCTGTTGGAAAGATAGAATAAACAGGAAACAGTCCACTTTAGTGTCAACCTGTTTATTAGCTTTTATTGTATAATACATCGCAGTATCTTGGAGAAACACAGACATATTGTGAAAATTCACTAACACTCCAAGTTTGAATGACTGAAAGAGGTTTCATAGTGAAACCCAAATCATCTGAGATATTCAGAGAAAGATACAAGGAACGTAGGTAAGCTGTAAAATCAAAACAACAACAACAACAATTTTCTGTACTTTACTTTGATGTAAACAATCTACAGTCGTTGGATGATAACCTAGATTTCCCAAAAAGAGTCTAACTTTTGAGAAAGTCATAATCCTCAGTCAGTGATTCTTCCCTATTTCAGTTAACATTGTGAACTGTGAAAATAGTCACAAACAATTCTACTCCTCACTGAAAGAGAACACAGTAAGTTCATTAGTAAAGTGAATTGACTCATAAAACGTACTAAGGACACCAGGGGAAAATATTTTCTACTCACTGATGTCAGAAAACCTCAAACCTTAGATATTATACCTACTATTAACATTCAAGTGTCTACTGGCATAGAACCAATATAAAAGAAAATAATTCAATTGAGTGGAAGATCAGAGAAGAAAATACAGCACCCACCAATTTTGTTAGCAGAAAAATTAACACATATATTCAGTAAAGATCATTTATAGATTCAGAGAAACAAAAAAGATACACTGTGTAGTCAGTGGTGTGGAGGAGAGAATTTTTTTAATTTTGCCATAGCACACACGTGCTCACTAGAGAGAGAAAGAGAGAGGAAAACTGAGAAATCACCTCCTCCCCTCCCCAAGGAGGCATGGTCATGCCAAAATCCCTTCCCCATTTTCCTCTCAGGGTTTTGGACATACACACACATGTACCCAGCATGTTTTCCAAGCCACTATGTTCAGGACTCAGCCATGGAGGATCAAGTCACCTTAACCACTGTTCCATCTGCCTGCCCATGGTCAGATTTTCTATAGTGATAAGGATTGATTCCTTTTCCTTTCTTAGTTTTGTAACTGTTCCACCAACGAGTTTTATATCTTTGCATGTTTTTATGATGGTAAAGGATTTCCTTAACTATTTCTTAAAAAGCCTTTCTAAGGGCTGATTAATTCTTTCAGTCTTTGTTGTCTGAAAAAGACTATTTTTTCTTCAATTCTGAAGAAAAGCTTTTCTGGGTATAGTATTTTTTGGCTGGATGTTTTTGTCGATGTTTTCTTTGTGTACCCTGAATATATAATCCAAATCTCTCCTGACCTGATGGCTTTCTGCTGAGAAATAGCCTCTAAATCTAATAAAGATTTCTTCATATGTGACATGATATTTTTCTTTTACTGTTTTAGTATTTTGTCTTTGACTCTTAACAGTTTGACTATAATATGCTTTCAAAAAGATATTTTTAATTTTGCTCTATTTTTTGGATAACATTTGCTGAATAACATGCATTTCCTAAATCAGGAGGTCCATCTCTCCATTTAGATGTTAAAAATATTGCCTATTACTTTATGAAAAAGATTTTCTTGACTTTCTCCATCTCTTCTATTTCTGAAAATCCCAAAATGTAAGTATTTGTTCACTTAACGATGTACTATATTACTTACAGACTTCTTTGATTCTATTTTCATTCTCTTTCTCCGAAAGATTATTTTTGAAATTTGTTTTCAAGTTTTGAAATTCTTTTTTTTCCCCTCGTTCTTGTGTTCTTGCTTACTTTTGATGTTCTTGACTGAATTTTTTTGAGAGAGAGAGGTTTTTTGCTATAGGTTGTTTGCACTCTCTAAAAAAACAGAAAGCAAGAAATCACTCCCTAAGGGGATTGGGTGGGGGAATGGCCATGCCACAATCTCTACCCTTTCATTCCCCTCTAGGGATTTTGAAAACACACACAGGTTCCCAACATGAGTTTCGAGCTACCAATTCCAGAATTCAAACCATCATCAGTCATGTTGTAAGCACATGTGCCCTATAGCAAAATTTAAAAATAATATAATAGATAAAATTAAATAATTCTTTAGAAAGCAAAAGGATTGATAAATTTAACTGCATAAAACCATGAACTATATGCCAAAAATTATTGACATTTTAAAAAATGTATCTTCAAACACATATGCAGAATATTCAATATAATAAAATATCAAAAGACTTAAAAAAATAAAATAGTATCCACCAAAAACAATTATGGTGACAAATGTTTTATGTAACCTAATTATGGCTCTCTGACAGCATACAAATTTTCTAAATATTAAATAATATTTTTATCCAGAAATTTCAGTTCTAACATTTATTCTCAACATACACAAAACATATTTGTATGAAAGTGATTTCAATAGAATGATTAAGAACTGTGGAAAATGAAGAACATGGTACTTTTATGTGTTGGTTTAAAATCTGGAAAAAATCAGAAATTCATATTCTTTGGTAAATTAGACTGTATTTAAGTATGTAAAAGCATATGCAGTTTACTGTGGTAAAATACATAACATGAGACTAGCAGATGGCATAGTGGTTATGTCGCTGGACTCCCGCATAGCCAACTGCAGTTTGAGTCCCAGACCCAGATGCTTAAAATACACCAAGCGAGTGTGCTTGTGTGCCCAAGATCCTGAGTGGAGAATGAACGAGTAAGGATTGTGGTGTGTTCATTCCTCTTGGGAGGTGATTTCTCGTTTTCTGTCTCTCTGTCTTTCTCCGGTAAGCGCACACGCCTTATAGCAAAAATCTCTCCAAAAAAATACATAACATAGAATTAATCCTTTTAAAAATGTTAAGAGTATAATTCTGTGATATTAAGTGTATTCACATTGTTGTGCAACAATAAAATCATATTTTGTATCCAATTATGAGATAGTTGAAATTTTTCACACAATTGTGAATAATACCTATAAAATAATTGGTGTATTTGGAAAAAGCATAATATATGCAGTAGTATTATTTAATTATATAAACTTTTCCTTTTACTTATCTGATTAAAATTGGTCAATAATAATAAATTATTTATACAAGCTCCTTTCTATAATAAAAGAAATTATAATTTTCAAATACTTTCGTAGATGTGAAAGTTTAAAAATATGAGCTATTCAATTTAAATGATCTGGTTGTCCTCCTCACCTGTGCCAGCATCTCCCTATCTCCAAGGACATAATCCCACTGACACATGTGTTTCTTGTTTTTTGCCAACCCTCATTACTAAGAAAAATGATGCTTGAACGTGGCCACTAAGGAACACTTTTTCCCACTTAGTGGCATTTTCAGCAACTTAAAAAGAAAAGTCACATTAAATATTATAATAAATAGCATTTCACTCTGTTCTGATGATTTAAAATATCATCTCTTCCATCAATAATTTTGGTTTCTAACATTTCTTAATTCTTGAGGCAGTTGCTTTCTTTTCAATATTTCAGAGTAAGAAAATATTTGGAGCTTCATTATTATGACCCTAAGTCCATCATGAGAAAGTCTGTTCACTTGGTTCAGTCTGGAAATAGCAAAGAGCTCCATACAATCGCATGCATGCCACTGAACACGAAGACATAAATGCCTTTATAAAAACGTCACTTTTAACATTGTCACAATTTACATTGCTACGTTTGAACAACCAACAGAAACTCTGATTCACAAACAGGACAGTAAGTATGATGGAGTTTGTCTCTGTGATTATAATTTTCTTTGTAGGCTCTAGAACATCTTTTCCTTTAAAAACTCAAATGGAATTATATGATAATTTGTTTTTTAAATGTATTCGTGACATTTATATGTTGCCATTTTTAGAATGATTTTTCCTTGTGCTGATAAACATGATTGTTTGAGGTTTTTTTTCTGCCTAATATATATAACGAAATCAACATTTAATTTAATGTAAAAATATCCAAAATAAGTTTGGACACATATTCAAATTCAAATTAAAAATAAGCATCGTTGTATATGTAGAAGTATGTATGCATGCCCCTGCATTCCTCCCCACAAACATGAATAATAACTGATTGAAGCGACACCATCTTACTGCATTTTTGTGTTCATTTGGAAAATTTGTTCAAAAGATAAAACAAGCAGAAAATGTATCTGTTTACTGATTTCTACTATTTAATAAAATATAAAATCTTAGAGAAAAACAAGGGTATTCTAAGAAATTACTAATGCTCGAAATTCGAATGGCTAAAAATATATCATAGTTACATGTGTGTCACATGAACCGTTAGAAGAAAAAAAAAACGTACAGAAGGCAGGAAGTTGTAAGAAAAAAAATCTCTTCTAATCTCAGTTTGATAAACAGGTGATAATTGCCAATGAGAACAAAATCCCCTACAGGGATTCTGACTTTTTAGTAATCTGTGATCTCCAGTCAGTGATCCATCCCTATATGGACTCTTAAAAAGTCACAACCAGTTCTGCCCCCAACCTTTGTAAAAAGATACAATAAGTTAATCAAAGAAGTGTATCTGCTTATAAAATGAATTAGATATACAAGAAAATCTTTTCCACTCACTGGTGTCAGATAAATTTAAGGCCTGAAATACCGTTTGTGTATTGAAAACATTTTATTTCCTACCGGTATAGAATCAATGAAAATAAAATAATTCATTTGACTGAAACATCAGAGAAAGGAGAAGTTACTCATCCTTCTGTCAGCAAAAGAAACACATATATTTGGTAAAAGTAATGAATGTATTCAGAAAAAGAAGTGGACGCTGTAACTGGTGGTGAAAACAAGGGGGGTTCAGGGTTCATTCACAAGAATTAAACATAATGGAATGTGCATAATAAACTAGTTATATATTATGTATGAGCACTGTTTTTATAAAAAAAGAGTCAATATACCAAGAAAAAATGTGACATTTTGTGATTTAGTTTGTGAATAAATAAGAAATACTGAAAGCCAAGAGACATTGTTAACTATAAAATCACACCTTCACAATAATCTACATAGTCACATGAACAAATTCTAAGTAGAAGATGGCCGAATTAAGATTAAAAGCATGAATATATTAAATTATAGAACAGAGAAAATATAAGAAAAATTTTCTGAACATTACATACAGATTGGAAAGAAGTCAGAAGTCAATGATGAGAAACCATACAGTAACAACATTCATACTTCTGGGACTGACAGATGACCCTCAGCTGCAGGTTCTGATTTTTATCTTTCTATTTCTCACCTACATGCTGAGTGTAACTGGAAACCTGACCATCATCACACTCACTTTTGTGGATTCACACCTCAAAACACCCATGTATTTTTTCTTAAAAAATTTCTCCTTCTTAGAAATCTCGTTCACATCTGCTTGTGTTCCTAGATACCTCTATAACATAGCAACAGGTGATAACGTCATTACCTATAATGCCTGTGCCAGCCAAGTGTTTTTCACTGACCTCTGTGGAGTAACAGAATTTTTTCTCCTGGCCGCCATGTCCTATGACCGCTACGTGGCCATCTGCAAACCTCTGCATTATGTGACCATCATGAGCAGCAGAGTCTGCAGGAATCTCATCATCTGTTGTTGGATGGCTGGTTTATGTGTAATAATCCCACCACTTAGCCTGGGGTTAAATTTAAAATTCTGTGACTCTAATGTGATTGATCATTTTGGCTGTGATGCATTTCCCCTAGTGAAAATCGCATGCTCAGACACATGGTTCATGGAGCAGACAGTTATCATCTGTGCTGTGCTGACCCTGAATATGACTCTTACTTGTGTCGTTCTGTCATATGCTCACATCATCAAGACCATTTTTAGACTCCCCTCTAAGCAGCAAAGGAAAAAGGCCTTTTCTACTTGTTCTTCCCACATGATTGTGGTTTCCATCACATATGGCACGTGCATTTTCATCTATATGAATCCTACAGCAAAGGAAGAAGTGACCATTAATAAAGTAGTTTCATTGCTCATTTCTTCTATCTCACCTTCCCTGAACCCGTTTATTTATACTCTGAGAAACGATCAGGTGAAGAAAGCCTTGAAGAACTCAATCAAAAGAATGGCATTGTTCTCAGCTAAGTAGAAAACAATGTTTCTAAAAGTTTTCAAAAGAAAAGGTACATGGCCATTTTATTTTTGAAATGTATAACCTTGTTTAGTTTTTAATACTATGTACTTGAATCACATTAATTCTCTCAACACTTCTTTAAACTAGCTTCCATTAAGTTCTGCTCAAACCATTCCTGAATCTTTACTTTTCAAACCAATTAAAAGAACATATAAATACATTTCTCAAAATATCATTTGGAAATTAACTTTAGAATATTAATTTTAACATAAAACAAAATGTATTACCCTACTTAGGAAAATATAGAGTAAAATCTTTTGTAGCTTTTCTCACAAATGCACAATACTAATATCCAAACACTCGTAGAATAATTTTATATCAAATGTCCAAAATAAATGAGATTCAAATATATGTGTAAAGAGAATAATGGCACTCCTATGACTAAAAAAGCTGAGGAAAATGTTACTTTTATAAACACGTAGAGATACTAAATAAAATTTTTAAAATATTTTTGAATCATAGCTGAAAGCACAGCAAAATTATAAATAATGAATGTCATAATATAGATTTAATTAAAAGTATAGTAATAATCTATAAAATGACTTGTGGATGCTCAGGAGAGCACAGATGGGAATGCAAGCAAGGAAGCTATATTGCAGATCCCAAAGGCTTGTGTTTAGAAACTCAGGAAAAGTGTGATGAAGAAAATTCAAATTAGAAAATCATGCTTTTTTAAAATAAGAATTATTTTATTTAACCTTTTTTTAAAAAAAAAAAAATTGACCAGAGAGGGATAGAGTGAGAGAGAGATCAAGACAGTAAAAAAGCAAGACGCAAGGTCCAGGACTCAAAACACAATCGACCATGTAGGAGTCCAGTGCCCTTAACCACCATACTACTTGCTGGCCCTGATCATATTTTTAATTAGAACTATTATTTTTTATACATTATACACCAACATGAAATACACATCAGATCAGTCCAGTTGCATTAAGCATTTTTTAAAAATGAATTAAACTTTGACATTACAAATTCTCTTATAATAGTCTAAATTATTAAATGTAAAGAATTTAAAATGACAAATATGCTTGGAAGTTAAGATAGTCACATCAAATTAACTAATGGCTATCCAGAAAGCAATGAAATTGAGACATATTATCATTGAGTATTTGAAAAACTAGTCAAAAGGAATTCTGGTAACTTAAAATTATTCATCATTATAAAAATGTAAATGAAACCAAATGGGAAGAACTTCTATTTGTCTTACTCAATGTGAAAAATAAGCAGTAAGTCAAGTTAAATGGAAAATGTAACTTATTAAAAGTAGAAAATGGAATCCATTAAATAAGTAAAGGGAATTCAAAAGCCATTTCTTTGAAAAATTTGATAACATTGACATACTCCACTCTAATGAATGTGAATAACTAAAAATCAGAAATGACTGACATTTTATTGGAAGAACCTAGATATGCAATAAATTAAGAAAATAGAATAATAAGGATGAATATAATAAAGAATACATGAAACTATTGAATTTTAGTGATTATAAAGTCTTATTTTATTCATATTTTACTATTCTGGAAGTAGAGCTCATCATTCAGTGGATGCCATCCACCATTGTTCACAGTTTAATTGATAACGTTTTCTTGTCATTAATGGTGTGGGATATAATTGCAAGTCTTATAACTGATTGCATTTCAAAATTGATAAAATTTGAGATTTCTTTTTTTTCCCCTGAGGATATTCTACATATCTAGAAAGCTCCAGAAACTCCTACAGGAAAATTAGTAGAATTAATAAGAGATGCTATACTAACTGGGAAAAAAAATGGAAGATATTTAAAAGTCAGTATACGATTATAGCAGTAAGAACTAGGAAATCAATGTGCAAATACTACCTGTCATAATTATTATGAAAATTAATTGTCAAGAGAATAAATTTAACACAAAACTATAGTGTGCATATAAAGTATAACATCTTTTTTAATAGTAGCACATAGTTATGGGTTACAATGTGATTTGTCAATACATGCATACAATATGTAATGAGCAATCAAGGCAATAACAAACATATTCATCATCTCAAACACATACATTACATTGTTGTGAACTATAGTTACTCTACTGTGATTTAGTACTCTGGAACTTATTCACCTTTTCAAATGCAATTTTATATCTGTTCATCAATTTCTTCCTATCCTCTTTTCCACCCTCCCTTTTCCAAATTCTTAGATTCACCCTTCCATCTCTACTACTATGTGATCAAATTTCTTATCTTCCACAAATTAGAAGATGTGATATTTGTCTTTTAGTGCCTGACTTATTTCATTTAATATAATTTCCTACGAGCTCATCCACATTGCCCCAAACGACAGGATTCACTTCTTTAAACCTGAATAATATTTCATTATATATATTTACCACATTTTCTTTATCCATTCATTTATAGATGGACATTTACATTGGTTACATACCTTAGGTATTGTGAAGAGTGCTGCAATAAACATGAGAGTATAGGTATCCCCTCAATATACTGATTTCCTTTCCTTTGAATAAATACTAGTAGTAAAATTACTGTAACATGAGATAGTTCTATTATTAGCTTTTTTCATAAGTTACTATACTGTTTTCCATAAGTGCTACACTAATTTATATTCCCACCAATAGTCCACAATTGTATCCCTTTCCCTCCATTCTTGCCAATACTTGTCATTCTTTGTTATGTATATAATAACCATTCTAACTAGAGTGATATAACACTTTATTGTGGTTCTAATTTGCCTTTCCTTAATGATTAAGGATCTGAGAATTCTGTTCTATACTTGTTGGTCAGTTGTGCATGTTCTTTAGAGAAATGTCTGCTCTATGTGGAGCCTGTGGAGGCTCCTCCAGGTGAGGCAGCTGGGTTGCAAGTGTCTCTAGGTGGTGTCTTTACACTGGGGAGGGTACACATGGCAGTCAGGGACCATGCCAGACAAGAGAACAGGTCCATGGGATCCTTAAAAGAGTAGGTGGGATGCACATAGTGTAGGGA